TCCTAAGCTCGGGGGGGCCTTTCCTACAGGCTTTCGGGCCCCGTGTCAGTGACACGCGAACTACAAGGAAAATTTCGCTCCTAATGGCGTGTTTCCCATGAATTTTTGTTTTATCTGTCCTCCCTGCCTGACACCAGGTCCTGGTAACTGCTCTTTCCTTCCCCAGGCAGCACGGAAAGCGCGTTAGTTCTGGCCCGGGCCCCCGCACTTCCCACCCCTCCCTGACCCTCCTCGCCCACCACCCACCGGCTCAGGTCCTCGGAGGCAGGTCCGCTTGTCCGTCCAGTCCGGCGAGGCGCACGTGGGGCCTGGGGCACCGCACCCCGAGCTGGCTCTGGACGCCTGGCCCAGCTGGAGATGCGCTGCTTAAGTGCCTCAGGACGCGGCTCCGTCTCCAGGCAACCGCGGGCCCCGCCCATCCCCGCCCTTAAAGGGGCCGCGCAGCCTTAGGGTTCTCTGCCCTTCGGCTCCTGGCCAGGTGGAAATCTGGAGCTAGATGCACCTGACTTGGGTTTTCCCAGCTGTTAACGGCCCGGTGGCCTCTCATCCTTCAGCTTCACCGTAACACAGGAATAATTCAGGCGTTTAGTTTTCCTTTGCGCTGTAAACAAATTACCCAAACTTGCTTAGTGGCTTAAAGCAACACCAAGTTACCATCTTACGGTTCTGTAAGTCAGCCCAACAGGGCCAGTTCCTTCTGGCAGCTCCAGGGGAGAATTGCCTTTTCCAGCTTCTAGAGGCTGCCTTCCCGCATCTTCCAAATCAGAGGTTGCACCTCCGTGGCACAGCTGGGAGAGGTTCCAACATTTAAGTCATGGGACAGACTGGGCCCAGCCAGCCACACCAGGGCATGTCCCCCACTTCTAAAGGCCCATTCCTTAATCACATCTGCAGAGCCCCATACTCAAGGGTTCTGGGATTAGAACATTGCCATCTTTGGGGCCAGAAACCCCAATTTGCAGAGTTCTTGAAAATATTGAGTCCCTGAAGACAGGCGCACAAGCATAGTGCTCAACACAATAACTGGTAATAATTATTACTTGACTGTCTCCTTACAGCTAAGAATGACTTCTAAGTTTGCAAATGGAAGCCCTCTCTCCCACGAGGCCCCGGACCTGGGCAAGGCAGGGAGAGCAGGGGGATGGCCTACACTTCAGTGTACACCAACCACCGCTTAGACTCCACAGTCAGCATTTTTATGTGCATTTTTGGCAGAGTTCAAATGGGACAAAATTCCATGAAAAACTTTGACAAAATACAGAGATTCTTCTATCTCTAGTACCACTCAGGGCCAGTAACTAGAACATCTTGCAGTTTGCACCCCAACGAAACCACATCACAGCATTAAATTACAGACAAATCCAAACCTTTTATTTCCCTTTGCCTACTGCCCTGGCCGCTCCAAATAATATTTAAAAATCACCTGGGTTGTTTTTTTTCCAGCTGGGCAGAGAATCCCCACTGGGTTCTTAAATTTTAATGTGCATCAGGGTTGAGAAGCACTAACCCAAAAGGATCATAATTTTAAACTTATGAAATTAAACCATTACAAATTTAATCATCAAGGGCTTAAAGTTGCAGCCTAACATAATGTTGGGCCAGAGCAGAGGCCTGCCTAATTTCCAAAGTGCTCTTCCTGTTTTTGAAACATGTGCTCTTGCCTGTACACACACACAAACACACACACAAAGGCACACAGAGAGACACACACACACAGACATATAAACACAAGGACACAGACACACACACAAATGCAGAACAAAAAACACTGCAGCAGTGCTCCACATGGTTCAGAAGGTTCTTAACATCATTTCTAAACGGCTCTGGTACTTTTTAAGTAGCAGGCTAATTTTGAAACAAAAATAAAACAAAACGATAAAAAACCCTGCCTTTCAAAGCAGAAAAGTCTGCAATAAGCTGCCTTGTTCTATAAAATGAGAAATGTCAGTTTTGAGAAATGACATCCAGATTAGCGATGTGTCTCATGGTCGGCCTGCCGTGGGGACAGTTCCAGGGATGGTCCATCTCACCCATGTGGGTGATGAGCTTCTTCATCTCACTTGTGTTAAGAGCAGTTCCAATCATCACCTGAATATGAGACACAACAGTTTAAAGTTTTACTGGGTTTTGGTTAGAATGACTCTTCAGCCATATTTTTCTTTATAACAACTGGACAGGATTACAACTCAAAAACAACACTGCCTGAAAAATCTTCCCCCAATGAACCCTGCCTTCTAATATCTCACTGTGAAGCCAGCCCTCCTTGGATCCTTCACCTTTACTCGAGATGCCAACCTCACTTATCCCGAATCCAACCAGTCTCAACAGCACCAGCATGACCTCTCTGCCAGCCACCCTCACCTGTCACCTCAGCAACTGCAGTGACCTCCTAACAGCCTCCCTGCTTCCCCGCCTTGACCTCATCCACCATTCTCCACTCAGCAGCCAGTGACTCCTTTGAAAGGTATGTCAGATCTAGTGGCTTCTCTACACGACCCTTGCCATCACCAGAGTAACAGCCCAAGCGCATCACCTAATCTGGCCCTCAATGGCGTTCAAGTCCACACCTGCAAGCATACAACCCTCCCTCCCACCTCCAGCCACACTGTTACCCCTCTCTCTTACACAAGTGCATAAAGTACCTGCCTCAGGACCCTGGTACTGGCTGTGCTCTCTCCCGGGAGACTCTCCTCCAACGTCGGCATGCCTCGCTCCCCAGCTCCATTTATGCTTCTGTTCCAATGCCCCTGCCTCCTCTCAGTGAACCAGCTCTCCTTGTCCACCCCTCTGTGGCCCTCATCCTGACTTTTCTCCATAGCACATATCACTATCTGACAGATCCAGGGGAATGAGCAGATGCCAAGGCAAGCAGAGAGAAACTGAGGCCCTGAGAAACAAGGTGAGGTGGCGAGAGGTGACAGGCCTGAACCTGGCACCTCCTAGAGGCAGAATATAGGGCAGGACTCTGTCACATTGGAGGAAGACATACAAGTTAACAGAAACAGACAAATATCACTCAGGGGTGCTGTGCCTGAGTACCAGGGAGAAGCTACTTCAGTCAGGTGCTCAGGACCTAGGGATAGGCAGGAGCCAGGGATGTGATGAAGGTATGTGAGGTGGAGAATCCAGGCAAAGGGACAGGCAAGCACACAGGGCTTGAGGCAGAAGGGGACAAGCACAACTGGTCTGCAGACAAGATCAGCAGATGGGACTAAAAGGGCAGGACAGCTGGAGCCCATGCCCTCAGGTGGCAAAGGAAAGTCCAGGACAATTGACAGGTTCAGGTGTGCTGCCCAGAGGACAAGAGCTGCAGCTGGACGGACCTGCGTACCATGACCCGTAGCCATCACAGCCACATGGACAACGCTGACTGCTCAGCAGCTGAGCTGGTGACTTCTGGGGACCACAGCATGGGCAGACCCTCCAGGCCCTGGCAGAGGAGTTTCCTTTACTTACAGACTTTCGACAGGCTCTGGAGGCAAACATCTGTCTGACTCGGGACGGCCGGCACATCACCCCCGGGCTGTCACTCAGCATGAAGATCAGTTCATCTATGTCCTGGGTCCCAAAGGTCCAGTTTTTACTAGTTGGCAAGGAAATCAATTTAGCCCTTTCAGTGACTGGAGCTAAAAGAATAAAATTTGGAGAAAAATTCATCAGTTGGAAAATGAGTTTCATTTGAGTGCTATGTGTACCAAACATTGAAGAGGGGGCCATCTTCACAGCTGATAAAATATGTGGATCTGTAACCTCAGAGACTGGTCCCCACTCTAAAAGGACAGTTCTATGGCTCTACGTAATAACTCACCATTTTCATCGATAACAAAGTCAAAGCCATTCTTTCTAAATATTTCCAGATTTTCCAGCAGGATAGCTTCATTGACAGCTGTTAAGTTGAGAGTCTGGGGTCTGAAAAACAAAGGAGACAGTCAAACCGTATTCAAGTCAAACACTTAGCTATAAAGCAGAAATAAAATTAAAACAGTAAGTCCTTGAATTCATTGCAAAAAGCAACATGAATAACACTTTATTGAGCTATGTGCCTCTCCTGTCACAAAGCTTTCTGAGAATTTCCTTTTAATTTTCTTTTAAAAGTACATTTTAGAAGTTAAAGTACAAAAGTAGTTTGCTTTTCCTCAACCTGCAATCCCACCCCAAGGACCCCGTCTGTTTTGAATCCATAACAATGTAACATAAAAAATGCTGTTTTTCCCCTCCTCACAATAAAGACAATTTGAAAAGTTGGGTTAGGTCATTACAGGCACTTGAAGAGAGTAAGCAGCATTTGTTTTGTACCCTGCCCCTTCCTCTGCCTGTGCTGTTTCTCTCTCCATCAACCATCCAGGGATGCAGCCGTGTCCTAGATTTAGCGAGTACTTAGTGAGACAGACACTGGTAAAGGCATGACACAGAATGGTAAGAAAACACAGACCTGGTCTCTGCCCTCATGGAGTAATAGTCTGGGGGGAAGGAAGGCGTTGATCAAACAGTCTAGTAAGTTTTAGTTACTACACTGAGGATCAGGAAGAAGAGACACATAGTGCCCTAAGAGCAGAGCATGAGACTTGCCCTAGAGAGGGGGCGGGTCATGAAATGTTTATTTAAGGAAATTTTATAAAGTAGCTTATTCAAGGTCTTTACTCTTAGCACTCACTTCTGTTAAAAACACACACAATGCCTGAGTGCACCTCAGAGGAAACAGAGCACTCCGTAACCTAGGTGTGCTTTCCCAGCTAAGTGACTGCTTTATGGTACGTTTCTTCATGCCGGGACCTACTTCTGCTGGGATCTGAGTTTATTTCTCTACATAGTTTAATTTCCCCAAATGACAATCCATGCCCTCTTCTTATAAATTTGCTTAAGAAAAGATTTCCAGTTTACATAGTATGCCCTCACACCAGCATGTGGTCAGTTGCCAACATTCAATCTGGCAAAGGGGAGGAAGATACCAAAATCCAGTGACTAGTCACTGGAATTCTGTACTGTAGCTGAGGACTGACACACAGGCAGTGCTGTCCTCCTGAACACACAAATTCCACATGCTACAAAGAGATGTACTACGTACTACAAACTGCCCTTCATCAGAAGGGTTTTCTGGCCAACCAGTGACCGACATTTTTTGATAGCTAAAAAGGCTGAATTTTTATAAGATCATAGCTGTGTGACCTTGAGCAAGTTATTTAACCTCTCTGTGTGCCTGTTTTCTCACTGGTGAAATGTTGCTGGTAACAGTAACTACCTCATAGGTTTGGGAGAATTAAATGAATTAATAGACATAAGTTGTTTCAACAGTGCCTAGCATGTAATAAGCACTCAGTGGCCCTGGCCAGTGTGGCTAAGTGGTTAGAGTGTCAGCCCAGGCACCAAAGGGTAGCAGGTTTCATTCCCAGTCAAGGGCACGTACCTGGGTTGCAGGTTCCCCTGGCCCTAACCAGGGTGCATGCGGGGGGCAACCAATTGATGCGTGTCTCTCACACTGATGTTTTTCTCTCTTTCTCTCATCCTTTCCTCGCTCCCTTTCACTCTCTCTAAATATCAATGGAAAAAATACCCTTGGGTGAGAATTAACAAAAAGTTAAAGTAAAATAAGCACTCGGTAAATGGCAGTACGACTATTATCATGTAAAAAGTATAAACATCTGCTGATAGATATATGTAAATACACAGACACATGTATAAGCTATTAGGTCTTAAATTCAGGAGGTGAAAAGACACTGAAAATCCCGAATGCTGAAGGGAACCTACACGATCAGCCTCTGACCCTGGAGGACAGTGTGCTGCTGGAGCATCTCAAAGTTGTACTTCTCATCCGTGGCGTGCTGGTCCACGATGAAGAGGTCCGCATCCAGCTTGGTGATTATAAACCCCAAGTTAAACTGACCGATGATTTCCATCTCCGCAAACATCGTTTTACTGCATGAAGAGAAAGTTAATCGTGAGATGTTTCAAAAGATTATTTTTCTGATGGAAAAAATTCAAGAACCGTGATAATCGGTGATCAATAAATGTTTGCTGGATTAATTAAGACTGCTTTTAAAATCACAGTTAACATCACTTTTGGGGGCTGAGAGAATGCCAAGGTAAAGGATGAGCAGCTTTAATTTGGAGCATCTGACGTGTCCTTCTCTGTCAAGTGCACACCTGCTATGACTGTGTGTGAGTGTGCACATGTCTGAAGGGACCTGGCTCTCTTTGCTGCATCCAAATGCACAGTCTCCAGCAGATCACATGCAAAAAAGTTCACCTCCACTAATTACACACTTTTGAAAGGAAGTATTTCCTGAAGACCTTTCTCAACGTAAGCTAGGCACTATGAATATCAAAGGAATTACATAAAACTCATGGTTGAAGAATTTACCATCTAAATTAGGCAAAGCCTGTGTGGTCCAGACCAAAGTGCTAGAGCAGTTCAGTGTGATTACTGAGCTGCACTGTGTACAGGGCAGCACGTTTCAGTCAACAGTGAGACAAAGTTTAAAAAAGACAAAAGTTGAGAATTTCAGGAGAATTCAATATTTTAACAAGTAAAGATGCTGTACATGATACTGACAAAAAAGGGGCAGTGTTTCCTATTATCTGTATCGATATTTTTCTTTAAATGGATTCCTTTTCCTTAGCCTCATCCTGAGCAATCTTCTTGAAACCACAAGTATAACAATGTGTTCTAATTTTTCCTCACACATACTGAAATGAAAAATGGAAAATAGCAACACCCGCCCGGAGTGCCATGAATTCCTTACAGGCGGAAAAGTCGGTATGCCTGAAAACCTGGAGGAGGAATGAAATCGGGGTCAAGAAGGCATCGCTGGAGGACAGGATATGCTAAGGAAATCTAAGGGGGAAATTCTTGCAGGGTTTCAGGCAGCAGAAATTGTTCTTTATAGCAAATTCACCTGGTAGATGTTCAAGGCAGTGAAAAGAAATTGGTGAGTAGAGAAAGCCTTGCCAAGGATGCACCAGTACGGTGAATGAACAATTTGTGGAATCAAACTGAGTTCAAATTTAGAGTCTTCGAGAGGGAGGGGGAAAGGGAAAGGCGAGGAGGAGAGGAAACTGGGACAAGTCTGACATTCGGAGATACAAGCCTGCGGTGCAAGGAGGCCCCAGGGAGGACCACCCTGACAGGCAACAGGAGCCAGAGGACCAGGTGCTGGCGCCGAGGCAGCCAGACCCAGGTCTGACCCAGGAGAGACGGCATCATAGAAGAGCCAGTGACACACAGAGGAGCAAAAGTGGACTCTGGAAGGATTGACCTTTGGCTCACTCACAGCAAAAGGACCAAAAATACTCTGAAGAAAAACCTTTACCTTATTTCCTTCCTGAGTTCCTCTTCTGCTGCTTGATTTTCTCCAGGACAAATCTTTGCCCTAAACTTCCTGTAATTCTGCTCATCTTGTCTGTGCTGCTCTTGGTGCTGTAACTGCTGTATGCGTTTGGCTAAAGAACTCATGGAAAAGCCAAGGGGCACTATTTTCTTGTTAATTTTAACAGCGACGTCGACCTGAGACACTAACGCATTCTGCTTGTTAACTGACTCTTGAGGGATGTCAGAACTTAAAGAAATCCCTTCTTTTTTAAAACGCTTGGTGTTTGAGAGATCGGCTGGCTGAGGCAACACTCTAAATTTACATCCACCGTCTTCTTGGTCTAAATGGCATTCCATGTCTGAAAAATGACGCCCAGTTTCTGGTAACTTCTCATGCGACTCCATCTTTTCCTGTGAACACTTGTCTTCAGGGGAGCTGGCTGCTCGGTGGCTGCTGCAGTGACTGCCCTCACCCAGGGTGCTGAACCCTTCCTCTGAGCCAGCTGAGGTGCTGCCATGCCCAGAGTCCCTATCTGCTTCCCCCCTGTCCTCATCCGGACTCGTCCCCCCTCCCGGAGAGCCGGACAAGCCTGCGCCCACGCCAGGTGTCTGGGGGCAGAGGGCATCTGAGGGCCTAGAAGAAGGCATGCTTCTCCTCTGTCTTGGAGAAACCCGGCTCTGTCCCGCTGACTGCAAGCCCTGAGGCTTGTGCCCTGCTGGGTGACGAAGGGAAAAGGCTTCCCGCAGTCTGGAAATGGTCACCGCCCTTTTCTCTTCTCCTCTCGAACCTAAAGAAGCAGGATTCCCCTGCTTCTCTGGCAGAGGGTTTTCCATTTCTGTCCAGTGTGGTTTTATTAAGTGACCTAAGCAGACAGAAACAGGGGAGAGTGTCAGGAAAAAGAGGACACTTTTACATGAAAAGCACGTCACAAAAGAGGCGGCCCAAATTGATAAGACATAGGAAACTGTTCTACATTAACCATAAAGAGATACAAATGAAAACCTCTAATGAGGCCGTCATCTGCTCACTAGAATGGGTAGAATTGAAACAACAAAATCGCCAGTTTGGCTCAGTGGTTAGAGCGTCGGCCTGCGGACTGAAGGGTCTCAGGTCTGATTCTGGTCAAGGGCACGTACCACGGCTGCAGGCTCAATCCCTGGCTCTGCTCGGGGCTCGGGCGGGAGGCAACCAATCAACATGTCTCTGTCACATGGATGTCTCTCTCCCTTCCACTCTCTCTGAAAAGCAGTGGGAAAGTATCCTTGGGTGAGGGTTAAACCACAACACACGTTCAGAAGGATGAGGGTGGCACAGGGTGCTTCAACACAGCGAGAGCTGACTCAGCACCTTCCAAATTGACGCCCCACCCTCGGGGTGCTAGGGAACAAAAGGATAGAGGTGTTCCTCGCCTGCCCACCCTCACCTCCTGGTACCCTCACTTTGCAAGCCTCATCCCACAGCAGCTTCCTCTTGCTGGAACAATGCTCATCTGTCACCTTAGCTTCCCACCAAACCCCAGGCTCCACTTCCTCAGCAGCTCTGTGGTATTTTCCCCCCTCTGAGGACAGAGTGATAGGCACCTGCTGCCTCCATCTCTATTTACAGACCTGGAGATTGCAGGGCACACCGGCTTTAAAAAAGCATCCACCCAAGGAGTAGATCTGGCAGTCAGGGGGTAATGGCTAATCCTTCCCTCCACCAAGGGAGGCAACAGGGGCTCAACTCAGGCCCCTCTCCCACACGCACGTGGTTTAGATGAATACAAAGGAAACTACTTCAAGAAACAGCTAATAAATTAGGATCAGATAGTAAAATAATGACTGTGCGCATTATTGCAGGTGTCAGATCAGTTCTGTGATGTGAGGAAACAAGGCAGGGAAAGGACCTCCAAAAACTCCTTCCTCTCTGAAAGGAATGAGAAAATGGGCAAAAACTGTCAAAATCAACTTTCTCGAACTCTGGAAATGAAAAGACTGCAGCAATCAGTTGAGTCTTGGTAAGAACATATCCCTGGGCACTAAATGTGGTAGCTCATGTTCTTTTCAAACAGATGACTTTTGCCCTGGCCAGGTAGCTCAGTTGGTTGGAGCATCGTCCTGATGCGCCAAGGCTGCGGGTTCAATCCCCAATCAGGGCACATACAAGAAGCAAACAATGAATGCATAAATGGGTGGAACAACAAATCCCTCTCTCTCTCCCCCTTCCTCTCTCTCTCAAATTAGTAAGTAAAAAATAAACAAACAGATGACTTTCTAGTGAGACACATTCTTTCTATCTAGAAGAAGAGATTTTATTTCATGTCAAAAACACCCTAAGGAAAGTATCACAACAGCTGTATTTTAGAAGATGTTTATATACTTGCAGTTTTTTACCTTCGATATTCAGCAGTGGCTGCTGACTGACGTTCAGTTTGCTGACATCACTATCAAACATTCCTATCAAAGACGTCTTTAAAACTGCCAACAGAAGCTTCTCCTCTTGTAGGAAAATCTGCCTTTTATCCGGAGTAACATTGATATCAACACATCCTAAGGCAAAAAGAAAGGACACTTTATTGTGTTTAACAATAGAAATTTAACAATAAAAACTTCCCACCTACTATTTTATTCACTTGTGCTGACCAAACGTACTATCAAAGACATTACGGTGTCCAGATTATTATTCATAAACCATAAAATCCACTCAAAACATGGAAAAGATGAACCACTTTTTAAATAGACAAAATATGCAAGGATTTGAATGGGTAAGTTGCAAGAGGAAAAGATCAAACACATGAAAACGTGCAGTAAACCTGTAAATTAAAGAAAGACGTCATTTATCACCCACTGGATTTGGTTAAAATGATAAAACCTAGCACGTAGTTGGTATGTGTGAATTGGTACGCCACAGTCATATCCACTAGAGCAGCCATTCTAATTCTAGGAATTTATCTAAAGGAAATAGTCAAATATAGAGATGATTACTTAATTATAAGGACAGGATTTAAATTTCCAAAAACTGAAATACATTTTAAAAGTTTAAACTTAAGATATATCCATACATTAGAATATGACTGCAGCTATTAAAATTATGTTTCTGAGTAATATTTAATGATACAGAGAAGAAAATGTTCACATCTAAGGATAAAGAGTTCTACCCAAAACTGCCCAAAATTATTTTCTCACCCCAAAGGATATGGACAGATAATGACATATTTTTAAAGGTGTGCACATATATATTTTCTAAGTACCTGGAAAAAATACTGGCTAACAATAAACCAGAATTTTAACCATCAGAATAAAAATACGAAATAAATTATTTTTCAAAATCAGGGAGAACACTTAGTTCACATTCTCCCTTGGCTGACATGAAAGAGTCACATTTTTCTGTTAATATAATTAACATAGTTTCAAGTAGAAAGCAGAGAAATCTGTATTGAGAAGAAAAAAAGTCTGTAAAATAAAACTGAAAGTCTGTAAAAACAACAACAAAAAACACACAGCCATTAATTATTACTACCAGAGGCTGTTTCCAGTCAGATCAGAGCTTTATAACTTCATTGTGTTCTTTTAGGAGTAAGTCGCTGATTTTACTGAGATGTCAGCAGAACTTACCCGAATCAACAGAAATGTTAAGAACGACAAACGGGTACTGATGTCTGTTATACATGTGGTAGACCTCGTTCACAAGTCTGGAAACCTACCAACAAAACAAGGATTAGAAGAGCGTAAGCGTTCCCTTCCCCTGGGGTTCTAACAACATGCTATTCTAACCAACCACTAAAGGGATACATTTTTAACAGCTTTCAAGGAGTTCAACGGGCCTGCAATAAATTACACATATTTGAAGTGTACAACTCTATAAGTTTACAATCAAGAGAATGAATATATCCACTACCCAAAAAAGACTCCTTGTGCCCCACCGTCACAGATTCCTAAGACTGAATCTTTTTTCCAATCTAAAGATGCTCTTGAAGAAATGCCACACAATGCAGGTGCAGTTTAAATACTCATAAAACACATTCAAATGTACCTAGAAATGTATTTATATGGCTTTAAAAAGAAAACTTGCACAAAAAATTTTAAATACCTTTGCCGGGTCACAAGGCCGCCAATTGATAAAAAAGAACTGTCTGTCTGTTGAACTCCGTCCAGCACCGTGAGTACAGTGAGAGATGAAACCTGAGATGCTGTTCAGTGTGAACAAGGGTGGGAGTCCAGAGTGAAAAGGGTTAGAGACACCTAGAACATGGCACATTCTTAAAGTAGAAAAGAAGTAACAACTTAACACCTAGTGGCCTGCCACTAAGTGCTAACATTTCGGTTAATGAGCATTCCGGTGAATCATAAAAACACAGACCTTCTGGAAGGCTCTAAAGCTCTGGCAGCGCAAATCTGCCACAGGCAATGCCATGAGTTCAAAACCATTTGCTTCAGCTCTCCTCTCACCTTCCCTATTAAACAAGGAGTGGATCTCACCACAAACTCACATTCTAGACCGTTTGTGCTGTCCCCACCAGCTGTCCAGGGAATCCAACCACTTGTCACCAGGATCTCTGCCCACATTCCTTGCCCTTTTAATGTCTGTTTGCAAACTTGTATCTACTGCGGTGCTGGTAAGGTGCTCATTCCACCTGAGACCAATCTCAGGGATGTTTGCATTTCCGTAAAAATGACGCCTTAACATAAATAAATGAATCCCCATCTTTAATTCCAGGCATACGCCAAAGGCAAGAGGAGGGAGGGTAAGCAATATGGACCTCACAGGCCCAGTCTTGCTTATGGAAAACGTCTATTTTTCTAACATTAAAAGTAATGATGCTGGCCTGTACTTCGGGTAAGGCATGAATTAAAGGAAATACAGCCTCCACTGCTCTCTGCCAGATCCCAACAAAGTGAAACATTATACATAAAATAATTTTTAAAAGTTATTCTAAATGTTCACTAAACATAATCTTTGCTGCAAAGACTAATTCAATAGAAAAAACCCTAAAATGCACCAGTTACCCAGAATATTGCTTGAATAAGTAACTAACTCCTTTATATAAATCCTTTCTCAGCAGTAATACTGCTTACAGGTGTGTAATGGGCAAAAGAAACTAAAAGCCTTAAAATCACTACCTTTAAAAACAAGAAACTCATGAAAAATAAATGTTCGACTGTCATTTTCCTGATGGCAATCTACTCACCAAAACTGATTCTGCAGAGCATCCGAGCAGCTGAGCCCGAACTCTTCGCAGACGGTGTCACTAGGGGGCAGCTGAACAAAAGGAATGAGTCTCTGCAACTAGAAGAAACCAGGATTCACAGTCACATCCAGACAGACAGAAGGAACCTAACTTCGGAAAGAAGGACAGGAGGTTCTAGTGTTTTCTTTCCTAGTCAACGAGCCACATGAGGGCACAAAGAATCTCCACAGCTGCTTTTTGCCATACAATAATCTTGATTTTTCTCTAGAAAGATGAGACACTTAGCTCCTTATTCATAATCAACGTTATTGCCCACAATACTCGGTATTTTTTCAGGCAGAGAGCAAAAGTGTTGTTTGATTCTCTACAAGGGTAAAATAAAAACTCTCAAAATTCAAGATTAATTTTTGCAATAGGTGCCCAATAAAAAAAAATCAGTTCTTGGATTTTATTTTCCATTCTATTCGAAAGGACAACGGAAACCTGCCATAACCACCAGAGTATTCAGATATTTTTAGCCAACTGGCCACCGCTACCTGTTTCTGCCCAAACACAGATCCAATGTTGTCCCTTATGCTGGAGCTTCCGCTTGTGCTGACCACAGGCTGTCGTTTTCCTTGTCCCACCTGATTGGTGCAACTTACACGGATGCCCGCGGAAATGATACAGTATGCCTGGAGGATATGGACCATTTTGGCAAACTCCTGTTTAAAAAGCACAGGCATAAGACTCAACAAGAGAGCAAGAGGAGAGTAAAGTACTCCAGCAGATCCTCTGCTGTGCGTGTTCGTTACAGTCTCAATGCTTCTGGAAGCTGGGGTCCAGAACTGACCGCACCTTTTTAATATTCCTTTGAAACTCCTTATGGCGCACAGGCAGTGTGTAAAACAGCTGCTGGACACTGACTGTTGTCCCTCTGGGCCGTGGGTATGGGGTATTTTCGATGATTTTCCCATTGTGATCAAACACCAGTCGAGTCCCAACCTTTGCAGATGAGTGGCAGGTAGAAATGGTGACGTCACTGAAAGAGAATGCCAGGCGCGGCAGGTCAGAGACTCGTGAGTGCTGGACATCAGGACATCACATGCTCTCTCACTTCTGCTCTCTTAAGACTCTCAAAAGAGACGATGATCCCTCTGAGATAATCAAGAGAGTTCAAATGGGTGAGAAGCCATCATAAAATCTAAGGTTTGGCACCTAATAAGATACAGAGTTCTGTAAATGCTTCGTTGTGGTAAAACCTTTGATATTTGCTTTTCTAGTTGAACTGAAAAACGATAAAAGATCTCAAAACTTATATATTCATTATAAAAATGTATTTGCTTTGTTACTAGTGTTCTAACAAAAATTTTTTTTAAAAAATATATCTTTATTGATTTCAGAGAGAGGAAAGGAGAGGGAGAGAGAGATAGAAACATCAATGATGAGAGAGTCATTGATTGGCTGCCTCCTGCATGCCCCTGACTGGGGATGGAGCCCACAACCCAGGCATGTGCCCTGACTGGGAATCGAACCCTGATCACCTGGATCCTAGGTCGAAGCTCAACCGCTGAGCCACACCCAGCTAGGCCTAACAAAAATTTTTAAAGGATCCAAAAGATATTATAGTTCAAATGTAGAAGCAATTATTTATAAAAATTCAGACTCTTTTGTGTAACTAAATAAATGCTTCAGTTAAATTTTTTCCTAAAAATTGAAATTAAAACCAACAGTATCTATAATTTAGTATCCATACATTATTTTAAAATTGAGAAGTCACTACTTGACTACGGGTAACAATTTTTTAACAATACTATTTGCTTCATTTCATTCATTCATTGCTTACCTCTCAGAGGTATTACCACTTAGATGGGTAAGTAAGATAAAACAGAACACAGAAGCCAGAAGTTGAGACATTCAAAAGGAAAGGTGTAAACAATAATAACTCTAATCACTCTTTTTAAGTTTCAGAGAGATTTCAACAAGGAGCCAAGTTAGTGGGTAAAAATGTTGCATCACCTTAGTGCACAAAGTGAGCTCAGAGCTTCCCCCCGAAAGCCAAAAGTTTCAACCTGAGTTAGGTCAGCAAACTCTCGAATCTTTGAAGTGTGGTGTTTCAGAGCTGAAAGAAGAGGTGCAAAGTAAAGACCAGGATATCTCAAGTGGCATAGCAATGAACATACACAATACCCATCAAAGTAACTGGGTTTGAAAAGCTGTTTTTGTGTTTACTCAAATTTTTAAAATTTTGCCCACATATTTTAAAAAAGGGTTAGAAAAATTCAACTTACTTAAGCCTTCAAAGTTTTCTTCCTCTACCCCGCACCCATTGTCCGCAACTTCAATGAGATCTGCCCCATAGTCTTTAAGCCTTAGATCTAAGGATAAAACATTTATTTCTCAAAAAATTGGTCCATGCAAAAGCCTTTCCATTGACAGTATTTATAACTTACATATGCAAATTTGAGTCATAACTGTATTTATTTAAATGTACTATTGTCATTTTATTTTTTAAAGTCTTTCTTGGCTATTTACCAGCCCTAATAAAATAGTTTTGTTTTCCTTCCTTTCTCTTCCTTTCTTTCTTTAAAAAGAATAATTTCAACATACTTATTAAAGAGAACAGGCTCTGGAATCAGACTTCCTGGGGTCATATTTCACTAGCTTTATAACCTCAAAGAAAGTAAATTCCCTGTGCCTTAACTTTGTCATTTGTAAAATAAAGATAATAATAAGAATGGTAATAATTCCCTATCTCATAAGGTTATTCTGCAGATCAAATAAGGTATCCCATGCATAGTTAGCACAATGTTTGCCTAACACATAGTAAAAACACAATAAAAGTTAAGTGGCATTTTTATTACTACCTAGCTAAGTCCTAGGCACATAGTAACTTATTTTATTGACTAAATTTAAGAACTAAACTTAAGTTAAAAAATAATTTCTCAGTATACCAAACATGAGTATCTTATTACAGTAACAAATGTTACTTGGATAAAATAGCATAAACTATTTCCTGTGGCTTAAATCCCCCAAACTTACCAATATTAGTGGCACCGGCATCCACACTATTTTCTACCAACTCCTTCACAGCAGAGCTTAGACTCAGTACCACCTGCCCAGAACAAATCTGATGCACCGACCTCCCATCGATAGGCTTGATGACCTTAGCAAGTTCTGTACTAAAGAAACCAGTTACAAGAAACACAGTAAGTATGCATTTATGTATTTTTCATCCTGGCTTTAACTGTAGGAAGTAATTCATCTCGGTTAATAGTTAATGGGCCTAATGTGTCCATTCATTACATAAACAGATGCATTTATCACATTCATAAACATTAAGTGTTGTTCTACACTTCTTAAACATTTATCAAAAAAATATTCTGACTAGATACTCGGAATGCAATATTTAAAAATGTAATTATACTGGGATCTACATAGAGGAGACACATGTGTCCCTCAAGCTATGGGGCCAATGATCTTTTGCAACGATGGGACCTCCTTTCTTGAAAAGTGAAAGCAACAGTTCTCACACAATTTAAAAAACCAAGCCCTAGCCGGTTTGGCTCAGCGGTTAGAGGGTCAGCCTGCGGACCAAAGGGTCCCAGGTTCAATTCTGGCCAAGGGCACGTACTTCTGTTGCAGGCTCGGCCCTGGTTGGGGCGCATGCAGGAGGCAACCAATTGATGTGTGTCTTTCAAATCAATGCCTCCCCCTCCCCTACCACTCTGAAAAAGCAATGGAAAAAATATCTTCTGGTAAGGATTAAAAAAAAAAATTAAAAAATACACAATGCTTATGTCAAAACCAGAACCACCTCAGAAACTGGGTACCGGTTGAAAAACTATTCCCACAGTTGCCTTTGAATCCTCACTCCAAATGCAGGCTGCCAGCTGCTGCCTGGGCAAAGGCCCCCGGAGTTCCGGCTGCAGCTGCTCTAAGAGTTTTCCAGCCCGCCTGTGTCCACATCCTTCCGACTCCGATCCGTCGGCCACGCTACCACCACCCTTACTTCAGAAAGCACCAACCTGGTCAGATAATTTTTCTGCTGAAAAAACTTAGCAGCGTCTCACTGTCTGCCACGTGAAGCTGACAGTCTGGTCACCGCTGGACCCGGTGTCCCTGATTTCCTCGCCTCCACAATTCCCCTACACTGCGGTCACGGCGAACGGCCGTGTCCTGAACAGAGCAGGCTCCCTTCTGCACGGCTCCCTGTCTCTCTGGTCTCGGTCCTGCCCGCCCTCTGGGCCCTGCAAACCCCTGCCCGCCCCAAGGACGCCTTCCCTAAGTTCATGCCCTCAGCCATTTCTCGTACAACGTTGGATAGCTTGGGTGGCACAGCACACAGGGGCCAGAGGCTACACGACCCTTTCTGATACGTATTTGGCAGGGTGCGGAGGAAACACTTAAATGCGAACCGAAACACCAACCTCAAAGAACTCACGCACCCCTGTGTTCACAGCAGCGCAGTTTACAGTCGCTAAGATCTGGAAACAGCCCAAGTGCCCATCAGCAGATGAGTGGATGAAAAAGCTGTGGCACATTCACACCATGGAGTACTACGCAGCCCTGAAGAGGAAGGGCCTTTTAGCCTTTGGAACAGCATGGAGGGAACTAGAGAGTATTATGCTGAGTGGCATAAGCCAGGCAGAGAAAAGCAAGTACCACATGATCTCACTCATATGTGGAATCTACTGAACAAAATAAACTGAGGAACAAAATGGATCCAGAGACGCAGAAGCATGGACCAGACTGAGGCATCTGAGAGGGAAGGCGGGGAGGGGGCGTGGGTGGGGATTCATCAAAAAATGTGTATGTTTATAAGCATAACCCCTGGACACAGACACTGGTCTGGGGAAGGCCTG